TTTTTTTTTTTTTTTACTTTCTCTTTGCTATCTATATTGCTATACGTGAGGCCATCCGGAGCTACTAATGGCTTAGAGTGGTACGGATCAGTCGATGATGACATTTTACCGAATGGCGTTTGGAGCTTATATACCGTCTTACTTCACGTTTCCTTCGATAAGGCAATAACCTCTATACCCGGGCGGCTTCATCATAACATCTATCTATTACATACGATTCGCAAACAATAATCGAGCCAGGCGCTCGCGCAAACAAACAGAAAATGGCACAAATATCACAATCGCCCCTCCTCCGCTTACCACTTGAAATCCGTCTAATGATCTATGAATACGCCCTCGATGTGCCGAACGAGTACATGGACAGACCGCTGATCGTGGTCAACGATCGTGGAAATGCCTTCACAGCGCGGGGCCGCTACCGCGCTCTATCAATGTGTCCCAGCTGGGTAGGCGAGAACGGCAAGGTGCGCAGTCTACTCTCGGTGAACCGACAAATCCACGATGAAGTCGAAGACTTCCTGTACTCGCATAATACGCTCTTCTTTCTCAATGCGTTTAGTCTGGACCGGCTTGGTGCGTTCCTAGATACGCTTAGTGAGACGGCGCGCAGGCGCATTCGCAGCGTCGGCTTCGAGATCTTTTTCTTTGTGCATTCGCAGACGGGCGTGCCGAAGCGGACGTTGAAGGAGTATGAGCGCGCCGGGAAGATTCTGAGTGAGAAGCTGCCGAATTGGAGCAGTGTTGTGTTTTACCTTGATCCGAGGTTTTATTTCCCGTCGGCGGCTGTTGGGGGCAGGGAGTTGTCGGCTAGGGGTGTTTGGTATCTGGCGACGAAGTTTGGGGCGATGAGGAAGGAGATGCAGTTTTTCGCGCTGCCGTCCATTCATCGGCATGTTATGGACGAGGCCAAAACGAAGATTCAGATGGGGAGGAGGGGGTCGCAGGAGCGAGCATTTCTTTAGCCTGTGCTTCTCTTTTTTTCGTTTCTTTTGTCTTTTATTGTCTTATTTTCCCCCCTTCCATGGGGTTCATTATCAGGTTTTCGGTGCATTATACCTAGTGGCACTCTCCGCTTTAGGGGGCTTTCTGGGGTTTCACTTGGGAGTTTCGAGGGTGGGGAAAGTATCATCCCCTTGGATTGGTGGTGGTCGATGCGCCATGACGTTTTTCGAAATTGATGCGGAGATAAATACGTCTCTGTTCATCATTCTCCACCCACCATATTAATTATGTCTCGGAGTCCCTTCATCGGTCAGGATCATTAGCGGGAGTTTTCAGGTCAGATGAGATTGGTATGGAAATCATGGTTTCGGGCGCAAGGGTTGTGTTAAAAAAGGGTTACATAGCATGTCTTATAGATTTCGGTATAATAATAGACGTCCATTGCTCAGATGATCTTAGTGCATGGTTGTTAGATCGGCCGTGAAGGTGGAGATGCTGCAGGTGATTCCTGTGATCAGTATGCTAGGCACCATCTATCTCCAGCCATTTAAGTCCAATGACTTCTAAGTTGGTTAACAAAATCAGCGATGTTGATTTAATTGTTTACCCACCGTCTACTATGGCTTACTAATGACAGTATGTAGCAACTCCACAGGGTCAGCTAGTCAAACTAACTATAAACGGCTAAATACTCTATGCTTGGTGAGGTAATTGTATAGCATTTGTGGCTCGTAAGCAGGTTTCTCAGGCTGGGGGTAAGAAAGAAGCGAAAAGGGCCCCTTGAACAAGGGCATAGACTATCATGTAGAAGACTGTCATACGTGCGTACCGGTACTGATTCATGATCTGGGCCTCCTTCTTGCCCCGGTGTGCGTCCGCTTTCTCCAATGACGCTAGCGAGTGCCCCTCAACTAGAGCATGTGCTAGCCAGAGATACCACACTGGATAGCCTGAGGACATGCGTGTGATTATTTGGACATGGTGTTTCAGAAATGTCAGGATGGCTAGGGTTATCTGGGGAGCCGCTAGGCTACGTAATAGGCGACCTGTTAATGGTGCCTCAGAGTGAACTTGCATTTTGGGGATGTTGGAGGAACTTTTCTGTCCATCCGATCCCACACTCAGCGTCCAAATAGCAGAGTATGTCATGATTGCTAGCATTGGGCCAGCTAAAGCAAACAGGGGGGCATTTGACAAAGTCCAATACCGAAGAAAACCATTATTCCTACTAGCGTTAGCATAGACATGGTAACTACCGAAAAGTGCACATACCAGTAATGGTCTTGAACGAAGCTATAGATGCTAGGAATAGTCCTAAGACACCATGCCCTTGGATCCTTGTTATTCATACAGAACTGCTCGTAAGCAATATATTGCGGCATCATAAAGCCAAGGCCCGTGCAGATTCCAGCCATACCGATAGCGATTAGCCGACGGGTTTTAGCAAACGTGACCCCCTTAGTCATTGAGTAAAGGACCCTTATGGCTTCCTCAAAGAAAATCATGCCATTTAAAAGACCATTACTGCGAGCGGCCGTTGCTAATCCATACAAGATACCAGATAGCGGGATTAAGGCATCATGGTGACCCGTGGAAGCCCCTGAATGACTAAAGCTCAGTATAAATAAGAGCGAACCCATGAAGCTCAAGAGAGCGTGGGTACTCTCGCCATAAGGAGCCGATAGGAATAGCCCAGCAGGCGATAAGATGTGTAAACATGCGGCGATAAATGCAAGGTTGCGGCCCTTCCTTCCTGGAAACACAGCACGTGCTAGACTGTACAGCACAAAAACTGACATACCATGAGCTGCATGAGCTACGGTAATGCCGATGATACTCTCTATTAACGCATGGCTTATGCCGACTGTGCGTTGGAGAACTGGCATATAGTTAGTAAACTTAGAGCTCTCCCGAGGGGGGGGGCAAGTATCCTCACCATCAACAAAGGTTCTGATAAGACTTGCAAACCCAAGATTGAATGCCCATTCTTGCTCAAACAGGCAGCCTCGACGAGCGATTTCTGTAAAATAGATAGCGTCCCATCGGGTTAAATTAGTGGCAAGCAAGCCCAATACTGGCGACAACAGTCCAGGGCGGTCTGTATTAGTTGTGTTACGGCCCAGCGCCAGTAAGGCGGTCGAGGTATCATACGCAGGACCGGGACTGGAGACGACCAGGAGAAGCAGAAGAGCTTTCCAAGAGACAAATATTAGTAGAAGAGATCGATAAGATCGATCGAGTAAGGTTGACATTATAATTGATTAATCATTTGAGACGTTCATGAGAGATGCCCAGCAATACGACCTCGCTGATTGGCTCTGCAGCGAATGGAAAGTGGAAGGGCCAGCGAAGGGATACGGTACCTATAAGTTACCCGTGACCCGACCGTACTATGTAGATGGACCCATACTAGTACTAGGACTAACTTGGGACTAGGTCAGGGCTGCTTTTTGCTCTGAGAGATCCCGACGCGTGGAGAAAGGCAGAGGTGCGTGTTGAACCCGAGGACATGTAGGCGCTAGGTCTATTTAGGACGCGTCAATATAGTAGTTAGTCACTATTCGACATCGTAACATTATATAGTATGCCCAGCTCAGAGCACAGGGCCTGAAAGGTCATTTTAATGCAATTATAGGGTTGCGGCGAGGCTTATTCAAGCCCAAAGAGTTTCTAGGAGTAACTAAAGCCAGCCTAGTATACATGAGATCTCTAACCCAAATTACTCAAGTGAAGTATGCCATTATGATATTTTTGAAAAGACTAGACGTTTATGGAAAGATACTGGAGAATGAGCAGCACATCATTTATATCATGAACCTACTAGTAGATATACAAATTGAAACATATATCAATATTCGATCAGAAGATGCCAAAGGGAGCCCAGTTCAACACAAAGTACATTTGTATAGTCAGTAGCTACATGCTAGTGAAACGTCTCATTGAACAAGGAGCAAATGTTCATACAAAAGAGGAGTATACAGACAGTAGATTTTGATTTGATATTAATCTTCAGAATGTCACCACACTTCACTATAGAAGTATATATTGGAATATAGAGAGGATCCGGACGCTGCTAGATTATCCAGACAATACAAAAATTTCAGATATAGTTTCGGTTTATAATAGTTTTGAAATACTACTATTGTACTGGGCAGCTATGGGCTATAGTAAACTGAAACTTGGGAGATATTTTAGAGAGAACAAAATATTTTCTAGAAGTCTTGATACTCTTAAGATACTGTTGACTGCTAATCCGAGAACTATCAATATACAGAATAACAAAGAATATATAGCACTGTATTATATAGTTATCAACTACATAGATAGCAGCAGAAAAGATTTAAAGAATATTATTCAATTCCTCTATAAAAATAGCGCCGATGCAAGTCTATCAGATAATAAGAAACAAACAGTATTATATTTATTGGCTGGACTATCTCGAGACTGTAATTCTATTGACGCGGCTGTTATAGATCTATTGATTGTATATAGTCTCGATATTTATTAGATCGATAAATCCGGTGCTACTACTCTTTATGCGATATTAATCTATTAACGATAGATCCCGGTGCTTAAGTATCTTCTTAAATTTGGGGTAGATACAACGATCCAAGACTTAGAAGAAGATACATCTCTTTATAAATTTATAGATTATCTGTACTTGAGAACAAAGAATATAATACTGGCTCAAAGAATAGTAGCGCTGGACAAGATCACAGCAGTTCTACTAGTATAGACAGCTGGAAAAGCTAATATAATAGACCAATCAAACACTGCAGGGCAAATATCTCAACAGCTACGTGCGAAAATCGTGGCTATATGGCAGAAAGCAGAAGGGTGTATAATTGAACGAGAGGCTAGAGGGGTTCAAGATCATGACCCCTGAATCCTGGCGAACATAGATACATCTAGTATGGGTATAGACTCAATAGTAGTTCCCCCTAACGAGCGGTAGACATATATCTGGTGTGTGTCCCGGAGGTTCAGCTGATGTGCCCGGATCAATCAGTGAGCGCTCTGGATATAATCATGTGATGTCCTCATAAAGCAGCGGGTCCTGTAAAATGAATTCAAAGCAAGAATGCTACAGTAATACTACTTGGTACTACTAGTAGTAATCGGAACGGCTACTCTAGCGAACGGTAGCAGCCAAGCTGACTTGCTACTCGCTGTCACAAGGTTCCGGAATTGCTGGATCGGGAATTCTGCATGATGCCCGCCACTCGGTGGAACTTTGATCATTCAGAAGTTCACCTGCGCGCACCAGTCGGAGTGGAGCATGAGACTTTGTAGAAGAGATTCATGAGATCTTCCGGTGGCACCCGCATTAGGAAGTTGAAAGACAGGCAGCGGTCGAGAGAGTGTGGAGAGGCTTTGGGGGTGACAGCAGTCAAATAACGTCATGGCGCCCCCTCGTGATCGGCCTGAGGCCTCATCCGTCGAGCAAATAATTTCACTTTATTATTCGCGCAACGTCATTGTTGTTTTAGTCGTCCTGGGTACGGAGTGCTTGTACATACATATATCTACGTGGTATTCCATACACAAACCCAGACCCAAACCACTACCTGTCACTTGCAACCGAGGGCGAGGTTCCAACCCAGCCACAGGATATTTCTCCCTACGTGCTACCAAGTACTAACTAGTACTAGTATACTAGTAGTAGTAAGTACTCCCCGATAACTGGCATTTCCCCCGCATGTGGGCCAATCATGAACGCCTACTAGTACTACTTTGTTGGGCTGGCATGAAATAAGTCTAATTCATTTGCCTGAAGGCCTTAAATTTCGGTCCAAAGAGACCCGCTTCGTTAATACCTCAGGTAACAACACCTGGTTGTTGCATGCTTGTGAACCCAGCAAAGTCAGGCGCATCGTCCACTTGTTCTCCCACCTTTGGTCGCCTAGTCGCTGCAAAAGCCCACACCACTCGACATTCACCAAATCCCAACTATCCTTCCACATGCGCTTCTTGCAGGGCTGCTTCAGGCGTCGTCGTTGATACCTCATTAGTCGGTGACTTAGCTGTTTTTCCGCGATTGGAAACACCTAGCACTGATCGTTTGCTTTTCGCCACTCCTGTAGGTTGTCCCTGGTGGATTCCCTGGTTCCATTCGTCGCATCCTGGGGGAATCTCCACCAACAAACATCTGTTACTGTTTCATGACTGTCAATTCATGTGCGAAGTATGTAGCTAATGGTCATTAAGTACCCAATATTTTTTGTCTTTTTTTTTCGTTTTTGGTTCATCACCGCTTTTCTTTTCCCGAAATCCCCTCCCTAATCATCCCTTTATAGGAGGGCTCGTCCACTTCGAGAACTCAATCGAATTCAATCCCTCGAACTGTCTTACTCGACAGACTTGGCTACCGTGACCACAATCATGAAATCATCAATTGCTGCGAAGGTCCCAAACGGACACGGCAGCGTCTACAAGGAAGTGCGCTTCTCACCAACTGCCACTCCCATTCGTCGTACCCAGTCGGTACCGAACACCCATGCCGTCCATCATCCAGGGACATTGACCACCAAGCGGGACGCTTCGACCTTGAATGCAAGCTACATGGAACAGGCACAGTCTCTCCTTGTTCGCCAACGTGCTAGTTTCGAGAATGAAAGAATACTTTTCGCAGAAGAAAGGCTGTTATGGGAGAAAGAACGGGAACTGCTGAGATTGAGGATCACCGAGCTCGAATCACTCCTAAAGAGTAATGGACATGCAATTACTTCCACAAGAGCTTCAACCGATTCTTCATCAAAACCCATCCTAACGTTTAAATACCCGTTCGACCCACAGCATCCGGCAAGCTTGTCCGAAGAGAATTACCAACACTGTGGCGCTCAAGTGTGGGAGGGTTCTAGCCCCGGAAGTCGGCCCACAAGAGTATTCCCCGAAATAGAGAAGTCAGATAGCCACAGTCAGCACCCGGAACAAGGGAGAGTCTTGTCAATCTCAGGGCCCTCTCTTGACGCCGCTTTATCGCCTCGAGCCCGTGCAGCCGATTCTGCAATCACCAGTGTATCAGTACCGATTGAGAAGCTCGACAGCAAACTTGATGGCATTACGCTCAAATCATCTGCGTTGCCTCCAGAAATTGTCGCCCGCGTAATGACACCTCCATCGCCTTCACCTCAGGAGGCGTCTCCAGCCTCAGTATCTGAAAAGAACCTAGAGCGCCGAAACAGTTTGAAGTTAAGGCTTTCGGAGTTGGGGTCGTTAGAGAGAAGGTTAACGAGGGATGCCGGACACACCCCCATGGTCGTTATTGATGGCGACGCCGATGCCGATGTGGAAATTGAGCAGCCTTCTCCAAGCGAAGGGCGTTCGAAGGAGGGCGAATCCCTTGCTCCAGCGGCACCTCGGCAACCCGCAGAAAACTCCGACTCGTACTTCTCCGATCTACCCGATGATCCAGCCTTGAAAGGCCCTCTATCCCTACTGAACGATGAAGAGCACGACAGTGGCTTCCTTAAGGAATTAGATCAGAAACTCCTTGATCAAGCAAAGCAGGCCCTGGGGTACTCTGGGGAGTCCAAGGCTCCGGAGGTCGAGGTTGAGGCTGCAAGCCGCGCTAGTCAGGAGCCAGAGCTGAAATTCAAAAATAGCACGAACTTTGGTACTGCATTTGGTATATCAAACCTGGGTGGGGTCTAAAAATCTTTTGGATACTTTACACGGCGACAATATGTTTTACACTATGGATTCGTTGCATACATTACCAGTTGGATTTATTTATCTTTCATATACGGGAGAGGCGTCCTTTCTGCTTTATCTATGGATATCATGAGTGACGATATGGGATGATGTATTACTTTACTTCCTTTGCTTCTTTTGGGGATCAGATACAAACCTGGCACTTTACACCGAGGAACATGTGTACCCTACTCAATGAAACCTCCTTTCTCAATTGAGACAAGACCGGTCTTGTTCATACTGACTAAGTAGCGCCAATAGACCTGGGGCTCCTTGCATGGACCTGCGTCAAATTTCAGATCTAGATCCCTATCTTATCTCCTTTCATCCCTTACTGTAACCCCGGCGGTTCTCGTATTCTCCTCTCCTAATTGCTCGAAGCACCTGAATATGTTTATTGTCTCAGCAGTACCGCTTTCCAGTTACCTGCAGGACCCTAGGACTTTCTTTTTCTTTTTTCTTTTTTTTCTTTTTTTTCTTTTTTTTTTTTTTTTTTGCCTTCTTTGCCCCTTGGCCTAAGCTTTGAGCCTGTGCTGGCAGCCCCCTGGGCCTTGTTTCAAGGACAGTTATGCCCTAGAAAGGGTCCATAAGCCCTTGAGAACAAACCCTATCTACGTATTAGGATGATATTCCCCAGAAGTCTATAAAACCCGTCTAAATTCCTTCATTCTTTCTTCCATCGACGCATTCCTTCACTTCTATCAAGCCTCCAATCATTGACTGAATCCACTCATTCGAGAAGCATCTTTGGTCCCTTGGCTATTTGACATTCCCTCCAAAGTCTTACGGTCACTACCATCCTCGCAACAATGTACGACGCGAAGAGCCTTTCGGCCCTCCTGGTCCTCCTGTTGGCTGCCGGACCTGCCTCAGTAGTTTCCGTGCCTGTTTCTGCGGTATGAAGACTACGTGTGCCCTATCTACTACATGCCGTGCAATATACTAACGAAGATCAGGACCAGAACCTTGTCGCGAGACAGATAGACAGCGAGTCTGAGGCCGGATCTAAGTGGGATTTCTCCATCCCCGGTGGACCCTCATACAAAAGCGGCTCTTACGCATCTTCCGACTACCATGAAGATCCCAGCCAAAATGGCGGCTCCAGCCTCTCATCCGGAGCTGATGCAAGCGATGATACAACCATTTCTATCCCGGGTGGCCCCAGCGCCAACTGGGGTAGCTTTGCGCACAGTAGCTATGAACAAACTGAGCCTGAGCCCAAGCCCGAGCCTGAGCCTACTCCTACTCCTCAAGAACCCCAGCCCGAGCCCGAGCCTACTCCTACTCCTCAAGAACCCCAGCCTGAGCCTGAGCCTACTCCTACTACCCCTCCGCAAGAGCCCCAACCTTCCCCTCCACCTACTCAAGTCCCAGTCCAGCCAATTCTGCCTCCGTCCCCAACTCCCTTTGTCCCCACTCCTCCCTTGACTGGCGCACCTGCCCCTGAACCTCCTGCTCCATCACCCCCGGCTCCGGTCGAAGAACCTCAGCAGCCCGTTGAGGAGTGCCCAGCTCCCGAGCCAGAGACTCAACCTGAGCCTCAACCCGAACCTCAGCCCCAGCCAGTGGTTGTCCCTGAGCCGGCCTACACATGCAAATGCGCAGCATAAAGGTCTTCCCTCTACAGCAGCGTCTTGCTATCGAAAAGACCATACAGTCTACTTTCGCCACATTTCCTTACCCTTCTTTCTGTGAAAATTGACCTGTCAATTGCCTCTAGCCTCTTCGGTCCCAACGAGTCTGTGGGGAGGATGCAGTTGAATTATATATTGAGTTTTAGTTTCTAGATTGTACTTGTCACTCGATGTTGATTCAGCTATTATTTTGTATTCCTTATCATATTGTGATTTCCTTTTCCCATCTTATGTGTCTGCCTTCGTTCCTCGGAAGAGTAATGGTAACTAGTTCATGCTATTACAATCCATGCCAAATTATTTACCAATTCATCTACCTAATTAGGCGACTCCCAAGAAGTGGCAAATTACATTTGTGATATCGTAAATAGCAACCTCTATAACTATGCATATGTAGAGGGAAATAAAAAGCAACAATACAAATATGGTCGCCGTGCTCTCAATATCAGATATATCATATAGTAAAAAACACCAAACTACCTAACTATCCATATCGAGCGAGCCATTACTAATATCATGCTGACAATTGGTACAATTTACGCTCGAATATGATTCATCGGGTTTCACCATTTCAATACATATTGGATTAATTTGTTATTGCTATTTTAATCTGGTCCCAAATGGTGGCGCGCAATGTATATATAATCATGTTGACGGGTCTCATCAGCAAGTGGACCCTTACCTGCAGGTCATCTTTAGGGTATTTTTCTGATCACTAGTTTCAATAGCTAGTAGTTGTCTTATTATCGAGGACTAGTGCTTGCATATTGAAATATAGTTATAGAGCAGAAAGAGTAGTAAATGAGGAAATAATAAATGAAGAATAACAGAAAAGGGGGCTGGGAGTACTTAATACTTATTTATACTTCAGCCTCCAATTCTAAATCAGCATAGGCGAGAAGGTAAAGTTTGGACATGTTGTATCGAATGAAGCCACAATTATGTTAGGAGTCACCTATGGAAATGAGACTTCTTGTGCAGGTACAGATACGAAAGCATATAAAATTATTGGAGTTTATCCGGAAATTGCTCGCCTGAGTCTGGATTAGCTGGGATGTTTAATTTGACCTAATCTGAGGACGATCTGGATGATAGAACTAGACTGAAGGACTACCGCTGAGTTAATACTATACATTGGGGTCTGCTGTTGTTTACATATCGTGTTGGGGTCAAGGTGTGGACTGGGGATCTTACGCTTGTCCGGGAATGAGTACAGGGTATAAGGGTAAGGAATGCATGTTTGATTAATGTCTAAATCACCTGCTAATGTTGAGCTGCAATACTCCGAGAATCGTGTGTAAACCATGCCATCATGAATGTAACCACTGCGCCAGGGTAAGAAATGAAGAAAAGCAGAAAACTCGAAGCCGAGGCCATAGCTGTGAGATAACTTCAATCATACTCCCATCGTGAAATCGTGTTCAATCCCTGGTGTCACACTAGCAATGAACTTTAGGAAAACAACCAAATACTGATCCACCCTGATGGCAACCTGTTCTTCTTCATCGTGCTGTAAAACCTCCCACTCATCCCCGCCGCTCTTATCACTGCCCTGCTGTTGTTGATCACTCAGGGAGAGCGCCTTGATGTCATCGACTAAACCCTCCAGACCGCTTTCGCCGGCCGAGGGAACCTTGGATGGGTCAGACTGAGCTCTCTTCAGCTTTTCGCGGCGGAGTTTCAGCGCTGCATCTGCACGGTCGAGGAGTGTCTTCATCACCGAAGCGTGTCGGCATGGGTGTACGCTGGCCATTTTGACGTTGCCATCGTACCATGGGAAGTCTTCGAGGGTAACGGTTTTATCCTTATAGTCCCCCACAACATCCTCCATCATCAGGTGTGGGGGAAGAGGCTCAGATGGTGAGAGGTAACCGGACATGTAAAGACGTGGCGTACGATAGAAGTTAGAGTATGTGATGTAAAGATTATAAGTACGCGTCGGCCTATATGCCCTATGTTAGAAAGATGACCGCAGGAGCAGAAGATAAGCCTAGAACAGATAGAGACATACTGCGTGGTACTGGATGTCGGTTCTCTGATAATAGCTTCTTCGTCATCATCCTCATCCTCCATATCAGGTATTTCGTCCTCTTCTTCCTCTCGTTCTCCCATGTTCCCTGACTCATCCACTGTTCGTACATCCTTTATCCTATTCTCTTGTCGGTCCGCAGAATCCTGACCTCCGCCAGTTCGTAGCCATCCGTCATCATCATTACCGCCTGTTCCCCCAGACAGCATGTCCCTCACAAGTTCATCATCATGGCCTGCATCACCAGCGAAGTTGTCGTTCAGTCGGCGGTGACAGGGTACACCTCGAGTGACGAGAAACTGTTTGCCGGGGGGCAGGTAGGAAACGCGCTTTGCAGGGCCAGAGGCGTCGGCCCATGACCACGATGGGAATTTGTAGACAAGGTAGTCGCCTGCGAGAACGAATTCCTCGGGAGTGATCTGGCCGGTGTTGCGAAAGGTGGAGGTGCGGGACACTGGGGCAAGACGGTCTCTCCAAGTGGAGAGTGTGGAATGGAGAATATTCATAGTAACAGTTGTATTTATATGTAAGTTGTATCAGGCCAATAGATTGGAGTGTGATACGAGGAGAGGAGAAAGAAAGAAATGAAGGGAGAAGCTGTAGTGATTGAAGCAGCTTATCAGTAGTGTGGCGGTCTATGGCGGCACGCGGGGTATATCATGTGGCTGAGGAAACATATGTCATGGATCACGTCCAACTAAATCCTGAGGCTCATGGAACGGTTGAGTCATGCAATTATTTTCTGACTAAACTAAGGCAAATATACTAATATATCATAGTCTACATTTCATTGGATTATGTTCGAATAATATGACCAATCATGACCTGTTAGATACAGGCTCGCGAGTCACCTCGGGCCCTGCCCGGTATGTTTATGGCCCAAGAGCTGCAGCAAGGCCATATTCCTGCCAACAGACTCGTGGTGAAATAAAGATTCTGTCAAGCACCAAGTTGCCCTAAGGAAGAGGCCATAATCTCTTCCCCAAATAGGGCCGAGCGATACGAGGTCCACGTTCGTCCCCACTTCTTTTTGTTCGTTGACTCTGGCCAACGGTTGATGGAAGGTTAGCGTCTAGATGCTCTTCAAATGATGTGCGTGCCACAGACGTGAGATAAATGATGCGCATGGAGTCGTTGTCTGTTCTCACTCGCCTTCTGCCATCATTCTTCTTCTCTCGACCTCAGCCTCAACTTCGTCCACAATCATAGGTACCACCCGACCCTTCCATTTCTCCATTTCCGCCCGGGCAAAGCCTCCATACTTCTCATTCCTACCACTAGGAATCCAAGTTCTTCCCGATCCACGTCAAATACTTCCCACCACTCACCATCAACCAACTTTACCCCGACTTCTCGTGCGGCCAGGTATATAGAAGACACAGCAAGGGCGTTGGTTGGTGTGTCACATATAACAGTTGTGGTGATAGAAGAGCTGCGTTCAGATGCTCGAACACCCTTTGCGCAACAGCAGAAGATGATACACCGAGGGTTTGAAGGTAGGTTAACGCGATAGTATGGGGTAGGGCAACATGGGTATTGAAGCCCAGTGTGCGCAAAATTATCGATTCGATTCGAAGCAGCACCGTTCGCTGGCTCTGGTAACCACCCTCGGATAGGCAGTATGTCTCAGGGGAGGGCTTCTCTGACACCCCCTTGGGGTTGATGAACCACAAAGGAGAAGCGTCCTTCGATACTAGGAAGTTGTAGACATTCAATACCGATCGTGGTGATGTAGGCTGGAAGGATAGCTTAGCCGTCATATATAAAGCTGCAGCAGAGACATCCTACAAAATTCGCCACATCAGCATGATTCCTGCTTAGATTTTTGGGATAATGACGCGATTCTAACCTTGACAGAGTAAATTCTAAGACTCCCACCTTCAGCACCTATCCAGAACCGGGTAAATGTCACAATGGCCTGCGCAATGATATCTTGCGACAATCGGAGCAATACCCCAGCAGCTTGGGTGAGTTGAGTACCGGCAAATCGAATAGATGCTTCTAGTTCTGGAGCAATGCCATCAATGGCTGACGATGAATTGGAGAGTTGTTCGGGTGTTGCGAGAGCGTTGGACAGGTATTTCAGTCCGTCTGCAGATGAACGTGCCATCGGTTATGTTAAAGATATACGAAGAACCTTCGAATAGGACTATAGGAATGGCTGAAGCCTCAATTATTGTTAAATATGCAACTATCGCCTGATGAGGATACTGAAAACGCCTGGGTTATGGTAACTGTAGGCAGTTCAACTTTCTCCGCCGTGACATCGGCAAAATCGAAGCTTACGTCCGTTGCGACAACCTTACCGCCTTTTTCCTGTGCCCTTTTAGGAAAGGAGGGTCCGCGGAATATATAACACGTTGGAGTATTCCAAGAGGTATAATTCTTGCTTTGAGTAGTTCTAAATTTTTTTTGTGAAGCTGTATTCATTGAACTCAGTATATATTGTAGTTGAAGTTCATTCATGTTTTGAACGTTACTGGAGAGCTTCGTTCTCGTTTGCTGGCATTGACAAAACAAAACCAGTATGTAGAATGCTTCAATTATCTCACGAAGCGATGGCCGCTGGAGTACTCCGTCTATAATCCTCCATACGTCTTGGTTGGGTGAGGGAAAAGCTGATATGGCAGAGGCAAAAATCCATCGATCGGTAACTGTAGGCCTATGACTGAATGGTATGTGCGCCAAGTTTATTTTGGTCATCGATAATTGGCGGGACCATTGAAGCTGTTCACTCTGCACATGCCGAGTGATCAGGACATGGACTTTGTCCAAGAGTAGAGGGTCCCTAGTATTAGTGGATGTGTTACCGACCTAGTTCAGTGGTTCTGTTATGGAATACTCTGTATACTTGGCTCTTACATTGCAGCTCACGCGTCCTGCACAATTTCAGCAGGGTTAAGGCAATCTGGAGTTATTCTACCTCACACATATTGAGCGTTTGAGAGTTTTGTGCGACTAGGTATGGCCCTAAAAGAGCCAGTATTAGGTGAGAACATACAATTTCTGTATGCTAAGCAAGCTTCGTGGGTATCCGGAGAAGATGACAGCTGCGGACCATGGGCCGCAAAACCTTTCCTTCTCCATTCATTTCCATGGTTGTCGTTTCATTCAAGACAGGGGTAAAACGGTCTTCTTTGATCACCAGAGTTGACTAGATACAATCTCGCAATGTGATAAGGGTTGATGCCCACTATATCTGCCACAGATATTTCATTATGCAGAACGCTGTGATTGGTCAAGTTCATCGGAGGGTCTGATCGACGAGCAGATAATCTTACGGGCTTGAAACAGTGGCTCGAATGTCTGAGATCAGACATTGCAGACCGTCCGTCACCCGTGACATGCATGCAACTCAATACCCCCTCAGGTACGCATGTATGGCTTCTCTTTCCATGGCGTTGTCATATGGAAGTCATGTAGATGACGTCGTTGCGTATGGGGCAGATCATGTTCAGCAGTAGCTGACCTATGAGGCAAATTAGTCTAATAATAACCGACTAGTAGAGATCAACGTTCAGAACGTGTCCAGGATCCTGTCATATTAGCGCATTGCCTCCTCGTAGTGGAGTACTGAAAGACGCTGTTCAGCCACCGCATTTTTTCCCCAAACAATATATACCAACCTCTCCATATTTCCGCGTCTCATAGTAGCCGAATTGTCCCATCGCGTGAAACGATCTCAAACCATCTGAATCTCCTCTTTAGTGCTTCATACTACTGCCAGTCAGTCCCAAAATAAGTGCGAATTACGGGGTTAGATCGATTATAGAATCTCGCGCATATTCTGGTCTGTCCGTGATAGGGGCACGTGCGGGTACTGATCGCTATCGCTTGGCGTTTGGACCTTACCAATCTCGAGGTTCTCTGCGACGATTTACCTTCACTACGCGCTTTGATAATTATTTCTCCTGTGTCTCAAGTCATTGGACCTTGTGAAATTGCCATATTCATTCCTCTACCTCATTCTCATTGACTTCGATCTGAAACCCCCCACCTTCCAACCAAAAACCAGCACAGGGACCGGTCAGGTCTCAGGAGGTCACATTCCGCTTCTCCTTTTTCTTGTCTCCCAACCAGGTGTTTGCCGTGGGTGACCGTGCATTGGACCGGACTGCCTACCGACGTGGCATTCCAGCTCTTGTCCAAGTGGTGCGACTGATTGCATACCTACATAATCCCTGAACCAATAATCCCTTTTATACCCCCGGTCCAGTCATACGTAACTCGACCATGCTTCAAAACGCCGACCATACCTTGACTACTGCCACGTCTGTCATCAACGCCCCGAGTTCGCCCTTGACAATTTCCCCGACCGAGCGAAGAGGATCTTCTCGGCCTTGCAATGACCCTCAGTCATCCCACCAAGAAGTTTCCGCGACTTCGTTAGTACAGAACTCACATGCAGCCCTATCGGAAAAGCCGTCCCTTCCAAACCAATCTTTCCACCGACGTGCAAATACCGAGGTTTTCGTTCGACGACAATCGTATTTGCCGGCCCGACAACTCTTTGCAGACCAGTCCAAGACACTGGAAGATCTCGACAATAGGGACAGACCCTCGAACCCGCCAACGGAGAATCTCACTAGGAGGAAACTAGGAGAAGGTGCGAAGCTCTTCACAGGCTGGTTTCAGGGCAAGTCTGAACCAGTTAATCTGGGAGTGATGTCTCAGTCAGAGTCTGTAGAGACGTCGACGATGGATGCTCGCGATTTCTATGGATCCCCTAGGGTCCCCACATCGCGAGCACAGAAGCGTATGACCGCTCCTTCACCTTTGAAGCAGGTGACCTCGTCAGGTCCTTTCTCTTTCTTTGGACTGAAGCGCCAGGAACCCAGAGCGGGGCTCCCCGAGCCTGCAGATGATGAATTCCTGAATTTGGACATCGCCGCTGCTCTATTCCCAACCCCAACTACGAGTCTCAGCGAACAAGAAGCTTTCGATGCCCTGAGAAACAATGCGGAGAACGTCATAAAAAGGTTGCAGGCGGCCTATAAGCAAAGAACGTTCGCCTTACATGAGGCACTAGCCGACAAGAATGAGAAACAAGAAGAGTTGGAGGAGACCCGGACGCGAGTTGGAAACCTGAAGATACAGCTGGATGGCATGGCAGAGAAGGTAAATCAACAAGAAAAGGCTATGAATGCCATGGCGGAGGAGCTGGAACAGGAGAGACAATTGCGCCAGAGAGAAGATGAAGCGCGCTTGCGCAGTGTCAGGCTCATCAGGTCTAGTGATGATGAGAGCATTTCCGACCTGGGCGCTGATCTTCAAACTCCCACCCGGAGCATGAAGCGTGCTAGCAATGCCACATACGCCAGCGATTCGGGCTTTGATTCGGGGGACGAAAGCCTCGCAGAGAGCGTATTTTCGCGCCGGGAAGGCCTCGAATCACCGGCTTCCACAGTAGCTCCTTCTCCAAGTGTCTCTCATATCACATTGCCCGCACCAGTATCAACCCCTTTGAAAGAGAAAGAACTCAAGCCTGTCTCACAAACACCGACACCGCGGCAATCGGCATATGACCGAGTGCTCAAAGGTATTGCCAGCTCTTGGACGAGTAACTCCAAATGTGGGATCTGCCACGGAGTCCCTTCCTCTGAAGCTTGGAGCGTCCTAGGAATTCTAAAGGAGGAAAACAAGGGCTTGAAGGAACGACTAGGTGAACTTGAAATAGTCATCGATGACTGCCTGAGTATGGTTGGACCCTAGTTTATGTTCGCAGTGAGCTTCCTTGTTTCTCATGGAACCATACAGCGTCCAAGATGTGAATATATGAACAGTTGATCTTTGGACAGCTCTTGGCTACGATGAAGACGCGTGGTAATTTTCTTTCCTTTGTTTGTCCGAAAATGTTTCGAATGAATTGTTATTATATACCATGATACCTATCCGCCTGAACAGTCTATATTAGATAGATAATGGAATCTACTAGATTTTGAAATATTGACTGGAACTGCCAAAAGGCTGTTGATTCTCATGTGTAGTAATGATAATAATCGTATGTATAGCATTGCTTACACGGAGGTATTTCTTCTTGCAGCTAGAGGGGAGCAAAGAGTGATGAGGGGAGCTGTAGGTCGACTGAGGGTCCTACTACTCCCAATGAACAAGTGAGTTACGTGTCCACAATTTTATCTTGCATGGCCAACTTGAGTCAGAATTGAAGAAGGGAGGAGAGAGGAGCAAGTGTTGTACTTGGTAGGAGCGGAGGGACATGAGCTAACCCTAGGTAAGTACTACTCCGGCATAGTTAGTGCTCCGTAGTAGTTAGTACCAGCTGGTGAGTAACTAATCAAAAGGACTGCGGAGGAAAGCGACCAAGTGGCCTCAACGGGTTAGCGCGACTGCGAAAGTGGCCAGCGAGGCGACTATTGCTTCGCACCCGAACTCAACCTCATCGCTCCCTTTCCCTTCCCCATCTTATTCCTTCGACTACCTTCTCTTCTTCTCTTCTCCTTCTTTTTATCCTTTGATTTCCCTTCCGCTCTTTCAGCTGGCCCTTCCACCAGCTTCATTTTCTTTTCTCTTCCCCCCTACTTTATCAAGTATCTGGAAGCTGGAAAGTCACAATGAGCGGCCGTGAGTGCCCTGCACGCGATCGCAACCAATTCCTGCGACACCGCGCTATCCTCCTTCTCAATGGGTCAACAAATGCTGATATAGGCAATTAGTTCGCTTCCTTGATCTAATCAAGCCCTTTACGCCCCTCCTCCCGGAGGTGGCAGCTCCGGAGACCAAGGTGCCCTTCAACCAGAAGTTGATGTGGACTGGGGTACGTTGATATGCTAGAGCGCGACAAAGCTTTCAAGACTGACAGATTGGCTTCAGTTGACACTCCTGATCTTCTTGGTCATGAGCCAGATGCCCCTCTATGGTATTGTCTCCTCTGACACTTCTGATCCCCTGTACTGGCTGCGTATGATGTTGGCCAGTAACCGGGGTACCCTGATGGAATTGGGTATCACTCCTATCATCTCTTCCGGCATGGTTTTCCAGGTGAGTCCGGCCGATTTCACCCCAAATTTGTAAGTTGGTCAATCAAGCGCCGCTGACTGGCCTGTGTCTTGAATAGCTCCTCGCTGGTACCCACCTCATCGATGTCAACCTTGACCTCAAGACCGACCGTGAACTGTACCAGACCGCTCAGAAGCTTTTCGCGATCATCCTTTCCTTCGGTCAGGCTTGTGTCTACGTCTTGACTGGTCTTTATGGTCAGCCAAGCGACCTTGGTGCCGGTATCTGTGTCCTGCTGATTGTTCAGCTTGTTGTTGCTGGTCTTGTTGTCATCCTGTTGGATGAGTTACTCCAGAAGGGATACGGTCTTGGAAGCGGTATTTCTCTGTTCATTGCCACCAACATTTGCGAGTCTATTGTCTGGAAGGCTTTCTCTCCCACTACCATCAACACTGGCCGTGGCCCCGAGTTCGAGGGTGCTATCATCGCTCTGTTCCATCTTCTGTTGACCTGGTCCGACAAGCAGCGTGCTTTGCGTGAGGCTTTCTATCGCCAGAACCTCCCTAATGTCATGAACCTGCTGGCTACTCTCCTTGTTTTCGCCGCCGTCATCTACCTCCAGGGTTTCCGTGTGGAGATCCCCGTCAAGTCCTCTCGCCAGCGTGGAATGCGTGGATCTTATCCCGTTCGTCTCTTCTACACCTCTAACATGCCTATTATGCTTCAGTCCGCCTTGTGCTCCAACATCTTCCTCATCAGCCAGATGCTGTACTCGCGCTTCTCGGACAACCTTCTCGTCAAGCTTCTCGGAGTCTGGGAGCCTCGTGAGGGATCCGCCCAGCTTTACGCTTCCTCCGGTATTGCTTACTACATGTCTCCTCCCCTCAACTTCAAGGAGGCTCTTCTCGACCCTATCCACACTGCTGTTTACATTACCTTCATGCTGGTTGCTTGCGCCCTCTTCTCCAAGACCTGGATTGAAGTCTCTGGCTCTGCCCCTCGTGACGTTGCCAAGCAGCTCAAGGACCAGGGTCTTGTGATGGCCGGCCACCGTGAGCAGAGCATGTACAAGGAGCTTAAGAGGGTTATCCCTACTGCCGCTGCCTTCGGTGGTGCTTGCATTGGTGCTCTTTCTGTTGCCTCCGACCTCCTCGGCGCTCTTGGTAGCGGTACTGGTATCCTCCTTGCCGTGACGTAAGTCTTCACCCCTGTTTACTGTATTCTGCTTTCCGCTGACAATGTTCCAGCATCATTTACGGATACTTTGAAATCGCCGCTCGTGAAGGCGATATTGGTTCAGGCCTCAAGGGCCTTGTTCCTGGTAACTAATCAGGAGCTTTGAGACTTTTTTTTTGATGAACAGCATGAGAAAGAAGGATTGTAGTTCGATATGCTTTTGTATTTCTCGTTCATTCCCGGGTGATGCGCTACCGCTGTGGCCGTCTGGATTTTGGGTGTATGTCTAGTATTGCTTGAAAGGCAATGAGTGGAAAAGCGAGGCTACAGCTGTATATAGCATAAACCTGGTTTGTAACCATATATTTAGAAAAGATTTTAAAATGATATCTAATTTGCTATGACAAAAGATGAAACAGACATTGTAGGTGCGTGCGTACTATAAAGTATAAGAATCCCGCATCGCAAATAAATGTCATTACACTAGAATGGGTATAAAATACACCATGGCACTACATCCTCCAGCTTAAGTTCTATAGTCGCCATTGATAGTGACATACTCATGGCTGAAATCACAGAACCAGTAAACAGCCTCCTCACCACCAAGACCTTGCTCACCCTTCTCACCACCGCCAAGGTCAACAACGATCTCCAGATCCTCCTCCTGGAGAATAATACTAGCACGCTCCTCATCGACCTGTTCAGGCTCACCGTTCACCAGCAAGTTCAACACAGGGCTACCATCAACGGGCTTAAAGCTGACGCTTGTGCGCTCAGGAACGACAGTTCCCGGCGCCACGCCCTGGGTATAGCCAATAGCGCAAAGAATACGACCCCAGTTCGCATCCTTACCATACAAGGCCGTCTTAACGAGCGGGGAGCGGGCAATGGTAGACGCAATCAACCGACCGGATTCATAGTCGGGGGAGTTCTGGATACGGACAGTAACAAACTTAGTGGCTCCTTCGCCGTCACGCACGACGAGCTGAGACAGTGACTGCGCGAACGAAGTCAAAATCTCCTGCATTGCGGCGTAGTCGTCCGACGAGGCGGAGTTGATGGGTGCTCCGCCCGCGGCGCCGTTGGCGAGGATGGCGATTGTGTCGTTTGTGCTGGTGTCACCGTCGACGGAGATCGAGTTGAACGAGCGATTGACGGAGTGCTTAAGTAGGGACTGGAGGGCGGAGGGTTCGATTGGTGCGTCGGTGCACAGCACGCCGAGGAGAGTGGCCATGTTCGGGTGGATCATACCGGCTCCCTTGGTCATGCCAGCGAGGCTGTAGGTGTGGCCTGGGGAGGAGGGGAGCGTGAATGTGCGGGAGAGAAGCTTGGGGAAGGTATCCGTTGTGCAGATTGCGCGGGCCGTGGTGAGCCAGGCGTCATGCGTGGAGGAGAGGTTGGAGTGGGCTACTGGGACTTTGCTGAGGATCTTCGAGATTGGGAGACTATGGTATGTTCTGTTAGTAATGGTTTTGGATAGAGTTGGGGAGGTCCATGAGGGTATTGCATACCGTTGGCCGATGACACCGGTACTCATGACAAGAGTGCTGGGCTCCTTGAGTCCGTCGCATTCGTCTACCTTCTTACCCATGCTCACTGCATCTTCCAGGCCTCCTTTGCCGGTGACGGCGTTGGCGCAGCCTGAGTTGATCACCACGGACCGGATGCCTTGACCCTGGCGGGTTTTGAGGATATCCTTGCTCACTTGCACCGGTGCCGCCTGGAACTTGTTGGTGGTGAACACAGCTGCGGCAGCGCATGGCGTTTCGGACGCGATCAAAGCGAGATCGGGGAACCTGGTGTTTGACGCTTTGACTCCAACGTGTGTACCAGAGACGACGAAGCCTTTAGGGTACGATCCGGACGAGGGAATGAACTTCCGCTTGGAGGCAGGAATAGCCATATCCACAGGTGCGGAATAATTGCGCACCTGGCCCTTCACCATTCTGGCGAAAGCAGCCATTGTGGCTGCGGGTTGAGCGGGAGAGGCCATTGAGCCTGCAGAGAGTGAACAGCGGTCAGTATAAATGCAATTCTGGAGGATATGTGTTGCAAACACAGAACGTACAATAGAGGCTCAAGGAACCGGGGATGGGTTGCGGGGAGATTCTATAGCTGATAGGGCGGAAAATGACTCAAAACAAGTCAATGATTAAATGACTCAATGCCGTCCGCTTTTAGGCTAGTGGATAAACACACCACAGCCAAAGCCTAACAGTGAGTCTTGGATCAGACCTGAGATAGAGAATCCCAATTCAAAGGTGAATGTTGGAAGTACTGGAAATCCACACCGGCCGATGGAGATCCAGCTCTCAGCTCCGATACCGCGGAGTCGGATAAATAGTCGGTCCTGAGCTTTTGTTCTCTATCAATAAACCGCGTTCCAGGCGCGCCGAGAAAAAGCCACGAGGGACTAGATATTAGCATTCCTAATAGCGCTCCTTGGTTCGGCCCTTGCATCTCGCTCTGCTTTCCTCTGGCTTACCAGTCGCGTCCGGATGGTATTTGCTTTCCCGCTACCAATTGCGTTTTGTGCTTGGAACATACTGATATGAAGCGCAAACAGACGGATTCGGGCGATGAGCGTCCTGTCTCGACGCCTAAGAGACAGAGGACGACGGCGTTTAATGGCTCGGCGAATGGATATGAGAATGGCGAGACCCCGGTTGGAGCGTCGCCGTCGAAACGGATAAAGTCGACACCTCAGAAGCCTAGCACAGCGACACCCGCAGCATTGAAAGAATCCGGGCTGAAAACACCTACACAAAAGTCCAAGGCAAAGGCTTTATTTTCAACTCCTACAAAATCTGCTGCTATCTCCACCCCTTCGAGAGTACGGAATGCGGACCGATCTGCGAAGAAGAAAAGCGCACGTCTCCTTCTCGAACACGACGACGAGGAAGACTGGGACGGAGCTGATCGCCTGGCGGAGGAAATCTTACAGGACGAGAATGATGCGACTGCTGCAGAGAATGTGAACGGTGTAGTCGAGACGGTCGAGGCAGAGGATGAAGCAAACAAGACTGCCCAAACACCGAAGCGCCGAGCAGGAAGACCGAAGGGTGCGAAGAACAAGCGTTCTCCCACGCCGGAGGGTGAACTCCCGGCCCATGAGCGGTACTTTTTCCAGAATCGAGCCGGGCCCCCGCGGACATCAAACAATACGCTGAATAAGGTCTCTCTGTTAACACACGAAGAGTACTTCGAGAAGATGGCACAGTACACAGACCCGTGTCGGGAAGAGAAGGCATTTTTACTCGATGTACACCATCGGTCATTCCCCCAATGGAACTTTGAGTTTGAACAAGGATATAACATTTGTCTGTACGGGTACGGCTCGAAGCGTCCCCTACTGCAAAATTTCGCCGAGTGGCTTTATCAGAAGAATAGTTCTGCTCCTCCATCCATCGTGGTGGTCAATGGGCACACACCGAACATTTCCATTCGGTCAATATTCGCCACGATTGTCACTGCTGTGCTCGGTGCTGACATTCCCTCCAAATTGGGTTCTCAGCCGATAGAGGTGCTGGAGTTATTGCAGTCTGTGCTGAAATCACGGTCATCACAACGGCCAATCACTGTCCTCATCAACTCCATTAATGCACCACCTCTTCGCAGAGCTGCAAACCAAGCCCTCCTTGCGCGACTCGCTGCTACACCCAAAATCCACCTCCTTGTAACGGCCGATACACCGAATTATTTGCTGATGTGGGACATCAGTCTCCGTGATCAGTTCAATTTCGTCTTCCACGATTGCACAACTTTTGCACCGTTCGATACCGAGTTCGACGTCGTAGAAGAGGTGCATAACCTGCTTGGCCGCAAGGGGCGTCGTGCCGGAGGTAAAGAGGGAGTCGAGTTTGTGTTGAAGAGTCTTCCGGAGAACGCACGGAATCTGTATCGCCTGCTCCTGACCGAAATCATATCAATGTTCGACGAGGGACACAACTCGGACGATGAAATGGATGGCGGGGCAGGACGCGACGGGGATGGAAAGGATGATGTCGGCATTGAATTCCGTTCGCTGTACCAGAAAGCCACCGAAGAGTTCATCGCTTCCTCCGAGATGATGTTCCGGACGCTGCTGAAGGAATTCCACGACCATCAGATGATCACATCGAGGTTGGACCCAAGCGGAATGGAAATTCTGGGCGTACCGCTGCCGCGTGACGAAATGGAGGGAGTTCTAGAAGACTTGGTGTTGAGTTAATGGTCGGTATTTCAGACGGCGCCATACATGTTCATGATACCCCTGTATAACAATGTATATATATCTCTCTGGCAAAGTAACTAACTTAGATCTATCAATGTAATTTTCGGTTTTCGATATCCAAGAGCTTATGTGTCTATATAGATTGCAATCCTTTCCAATAAGCACCATAAATCACCTCATCTATCATTCTCACCACCAACACGGTACATAAAATCAAAACTGCGCAAACGCCGCCAGCGCCATCGTAGCCCCAAAACTGATCTTAAATGGCTTATGCTGCGACACAGCCTTCTGTAAATTCACCCCTTTAACAAGCCCCTGCAACCGGTTCACAGGAATCACATTATACCCATTCGCAGCTGCCCACTACACACATCGCCCCCAAAGATATCAGCCAAAAAGCCCATCCCAAGAAAAAAAGATAAAAACAATGAACATACCTCAACAAACACAACTCCCATGCCCAAAAGCACAACCAAAACCCTCGAGAACGCCCTCAATCCCACCCCCACAACCAGCCCGAGGATACTCCCCAGACTCACCTGTCGCATATTGGATGCCGTTAACCATCCGCTTGGAGAATTGTGTTTCGTGGCGCCCTGCTTGAGTAGCCCGGGGTCGCTGCGGTCAACGGCCCACCCTGAGTCTGGGGAGGTTTGTGACTCGGGTTGGTAGTAGGGGGCGCTATATTGGCATTGCATTGGGGTGGAACGGAAGGGGGAGAGCGGACTCAGGGAGAGACCGAGTCCGACGCCCAGGACGGCTGAGGTGCGGGTGAGGAGGAATGACATGTTTGGTGTAATTGATGGAATACCGTGGGGATATAAGAGATTGGTTGATTTCTTGGGATGGTGGCTAGGTAGTAGAGCCTTTTTGAGGTGGGGGGAAGCTTCTTCAAGGTATTGAGAGTGGGAATGTGACAGCTACTGAAGGAGATGTTGGAGATAGCGGACGATCCCCTTCTGCGGAGGTGGGGGTGACGTCACCGGAAGGCCTATCTGTCAATCTCAATTAAATATACGAGTGTCTGCTACATAACACTTGGCTATTTGTTTTACTGCTTTATATGGTGACTTTACAGGGATGGCATTGGCTTGTTTGCACTGCTAAACAATATGTCTGGCCATTGTTCGTGAATCAATTGGACACCTCCGCGAGAGAGATCTTCCAGCCAGGGCTACGGCAGCTCTAAACAATAGTAGCAAGGGGCAACGATGTTGACATGCCACATATAACTATAACAACTAGAGCCATTGGAAAATGCAGCTACCGTAATTTTGCATGAGTATTTCGAGAAGTTCCATACTTCATTACGCATAGGGACTAAGAGCTCTATCTTATTAACCTCAGAGAAGCCGAAGCAGGGATGATACAATCGTATTATAGGGTTGTCCGGATAGCGACCAAATTGATAGAAAGATGCATGTGGTTCACAGTCACTTGATTTACTATAGCTATTCCTTAGAGCGCTATAACAGCCCTATACAGCAATGTCTTTATTGGCAGAAGTCCGAAAATATCCACTAGAAGAGATAGATGATCATATAGGAACCACTTCCAGAAGCAAGGTTCTGACAGGTTGTGTTTAACCTAATGCGTAGCACAGTATTAAGCTTATATATGGAGTGGGGTCAGGTACAGACGGCGTAGTCCGCATATCTGATCCGATATGCAAGCATAGTATCTCCGTGCTCGCCACGAGGTTGACTACGAAGATTGGTTGCTTGTCAGTTAGCTTCATGGGGAGGACAGACTTCGAAGGAGCTAAATTAATATGTGATGACTGATATGAGCTCTTATTCGAGAAAAAAGAAAGAGAGGTATATCCTCTACTCTAGCGGTATGCCTACTATAGAGATTGATGCTCAGAAGGCATGGTCTATACAAATTGCAGCCAGTCCCGCCGTTCCGCCACCTCGGAAGATTCCGTTAGTCAGTAAACGATTAAGTAAAAGTTGGTACTGCATTACTCCGTACACATGGGGGTGTAATTTTACTCTAACTGGTAGGTAAGGTACTCGGTCCGGGTGCTAGTAGCATGTGGCAGTCCTTATTTGGCAGTCCTAAGGAGTGGGTAATTGAGGTAGGCATACGCAGTATAATATTTTGTGGGAGATATTTAGTGGAATTGCATACGGATATAGGATGTACACTTTAGTTGCTTGCTGATAATCAGCCCAACAACTAAAGTCTCTTGATCAAGGTTATTGCTCTCTGTAACTAGCAGGCCATTCATGATATTACCAAGATGTGTCGTTCTAGATTTATTCGGAAGGGTTCTATTTTACAAAAAATTTGCTCAAGTTCGTAAACTGTCTGGGCGGTGGGTGGTGCCACCAATTAAAACCGTCGAATGGATGGTAATTATCTTGGCTACCGGAACGAGGAACGATACTCCGGAAATGTACAATACTTGCAGGACACTCGGACAGCCAGGTGTGCCCGCGGGAAACCGGTGAGCGGCGGGGGCTGCGCCAGTATTGCAAAGTTTCCGGCCGAAAGTTTGCTAAACTCTACCACAAGGTGATGGAGGGGCAGTGGCCTTCTGATTGGACCGTCTCTCCGCGGACAGGCAGCCTGAGGGAAAAGTCGGCGGGGTGAACAAGGGGAATGAACGAAGGGTGGGTTCCATGGACGCGCCCTACGTTACTTTGGCTGTCCTTTCGGCGGCGATTGCCCTTCGCTATCTTTGACTCACCATCCGTTCACCTTAAATATCCCGGCTCGGCTTCCTCCTTCTTTCTTCCCTCGTTCTCAGACCATCCTTCCGCCTCTCACTCTCCGTGTCCTACCTTGCTCAATTCGAATTCGGACAAATCTCCCTCACAATGGCTTCTCAGCAGAACGGAACTAACGGGGCTTCTGCCTCCAACGACTTCACCGTCAAGGCCGGTCTGGCCCAGATGTTGAAGGGTGGTGTGATCATGGACGTTGTCAATGCTGAGCAGGTATGCACTTGGTCAATGACTTCTGCTCAATGGATGAATCTAATGAGACACTCGTATAGGCTCGCATTGCCGAGGAGGCCGGTGCTGCCGCTGTCATGGCCCTCGAGCGTGTCCCCGCTGATATCAGAGCTCAGGGTGGCGTGGCGCGCATGTCTGACCCCAGCATGATCAAGGAGATCATGGAGGCCGTTACCATCCCTGTCATGGCCAAGGCCCGTATTGGACACTTCGTTGAATGCCAGGTAGGAACTTCCTTGCCACTCTGCGTATGCCGCCGGAAACTGACAATGCTTACGTTAGATCCTCGAAGCCATTGGCATCGACTACATTGACGAATCCGAAGTTCTCACCCCCGCCGACGACATCTACCACGTTACCAAGCACAACTTCAAGGCTCCATTCGTCTGTGGCTGCCGCAACCTCGGCGAGGCTCTCCGCCGTATCTCCGAGGGTGCTGCTATGATCCGCACCAAGGGTGAGGCCGGTACTGGCGACGTCGTGGAAGCCGTCAAGCACATGCGCACCGTGAACGCTCAGATTGCCCGTGCCCGTGCCATCCTCCAGTCCTCTCCCGACTACGAGCCTGAGCTCCGTGCCTTCGCTCGTGAGCTTGAGGTCCCATACGAGCTCCTGCGTGAGACTGCCGAGAAGGGCCGTCTCCCTGTCGTCAACTTCGCTGCCGGTGGTGTTGCCACCCCCGCTGATGCCGCACTCATGATGCAGCTGGGCTGCGATGGTGTGTTCGTCGGTTCCGGTATCTTTAAGTCTGGCGATGCGAAGAAGCGCGCCAAGGCTATTGTCCAGGCTGTGACTCACTACAAGGACCCCAAAGTTCTTGCTGAGGTCAGCGAGGGTCTGGGTGAGGCCATGGTTGGCATCAACGTGTCTCAGATGGCTGAGAGCGACAAGTTGGCTAAGCGGGGCTGGTAGATATACCCCATTTGCTGTTTCATTCATTTGCGGGCGTTAGAAAAGTCGACATAGTGTCTGCTGGAGACTATGTTCTTCCCCTGTTGTTTTCACCCGTCCGAACATAAAGGAGGGAAGATGTACTGTACATTGTCGATTACGAGCTATGAGCATATGAAAGCATTGTCACATGGTCTCTTTGGGTGTGCTGATAGGACTTCGGCGATAACAAAAGCTCTCTAATAATTGTTCCAAGTGCACATTATGGTATAACCAGATAACTTGTCATAGAGACAGATCTTGCATAGCGTAAAAGCAACTGCCTGTCACGGTCAGCCGTAATATGGCATGATCGCTTAGATTTGATGGCAGGATTATGAGGCTCACTTTTTTAGTAGTTCAGACAAGGCGCTTTAAGACCATCAGGAACCTACCAATCAAAGCTGCAGGGATTCTTTCTAGTGCCTTAATACTCGAACTTATTCGCTACTAAACTAGCGACAGGAACAGGATCTCGATCTACCCGACAGATCACCTTCCTAACAAAGACAAAAGTCGATTGTATATGTTGATCGGTAGAGGAAGTCGAATCAATTCGAATTCAGCCAGACTCTCATCCAGATTTTACCAGATAAGGCAGGTCCTTGGAGAACCTTTCTGGTTTGGGTAACACCTTCTAGACAAACGTCCAGAAAAGGCGAAGAAGGCCATCCATCAGTGACATTCGACCATGACGCACGTGAAAGGGGTAGCCACAGTAAACCCAGACGACTTCATCCATGGAGATCTACCCCAACGCTCCCCAACCCGCAGCGGAGGTAACCAGGACGTATCGGTAATACTTCCCCATGACTCCAAATATCATCAACAGAGCCATCGCATTTCGTAATACCATTTCAAGGCTCGAAAAAAAAAAGCCTCGGTAGAGAATCTCTTCCATCATCTCAGCTTCAATACTCGATCAGAATGACGTCCCAACACCAACGCCCCCCTATCTAACACCTCCCAGACTTACTCTCTACCTATATTGCGTCGCAACAACCACGACAACCACCAACACCAACACCAATACCAAAACCAAGCACACAACCGTGCCATCCCCCCAAAACAATGACCGAACACTCCTGCACCCTCCCCCAATTCAAGCCCGACAACGCCTCCGAAACAACCACAACCCAGGCCCTCCTCACCCCACCCCCGGAAGAACAAGAACAACCCCTCGACCAAACCCAAGACCACTATCACGACCACGACCAAGATGGAGAAGACCCCCCGGCGGCCCACCCCCAACCGGACACCACCATCCTCATCGAAGATGTGAAAACCTACCTCTCCACCCTCTTCTTCCGCCAAACGCTCCGTCTGAATTTCATCGTCTCCACCGTCCTGGACTTCTTGCACGCGCATCCGGTCATCGCGACCTTGCTCCTGGCGCAGTTGCTTTGCTCGTGCGTGCCGATCGGGTTGTTCGTCGCCGGGGCTGTGATTGTGGCGTCGCTGGCCGTGGCGCTGTATTCCTGTGTGGCGGTTTTGGTGCTCGCGCCGGTGGTGATTGGGACGAGTGTTTTGGGGTTCTGTGTTTGGGGGTGGGGGTGGGTTGCTTTTGTGGTTGGGAAGTGGGTTTTGGGGTGGCTTGTTGATGGGGAGAGGGGGTTCAATTTGGATGGGGATTTGGAGGTGGAAGAGGACAGGGATTGAGGTGTTTTCTTTTCTTCTTTTCTCTTTCTCTTTCTTTTGCCTAGTTATATTTTATCTATCTATTCTTGGCTCGGGTGAAATTTGGGATTGTTTCAATGGGTTAGGGATCGGGATCGGGATCGGGATTGGGACTGGGATGGTGGTCAGTTACTATCTTCTATTTAATCCTAGTTATGGGTCTAATGATTATTCTTAATGCTACAAAGTGGTTGCTTTCAGGAGAGTTTTTCGCCGAGTATGTAAGTTGAAGCTGCATTATATTATCTAAATTACTATCTATGGCTGGATCGAGAGTTTGCCCCGTTATTTATGTCACATTCTATAGAATTCGATCCCGCAGTTACTGGCTTTCTGCCCAGCTCACCCATCTGCGAATACATTCGTCCACTCCCCTAATGGCTTCTTTTTCGGCCTTGATTTCGAACCATTCCTGGTGCTCCCTCCCGCATTCCTCGCACTTGCCCATGTCGCGGACTTTATAGTCATCTAGTTCGAGGTGGACTAGTCGTTCTACGCGATGGACATACGGAACTTTCCTTCCTAGCTCGGGAGCAGGTCCGTTGCTAGGGCCGGGCGATGAAGGTGTGTAGGGGTAATATCGAATCAGGGTGATGTGGTGAGAGCACTGCCTGGTCCATTCGTTCATTCGACGCTGGACGTTGTTCGCTCGGCCGATCTTGAGGCGAATTGTGCCTGGACTAAATTCGGTGGGCTTCGAGGTCAAGGCATTGAGATCTCTGGCCTTTTGTATGGCATTACTTCCGCGCTCATGCTTAGAGAATAAGGACGAGGCGACGTCTGTAGGCGGCGGCATCGATCTGGAAGAGCCGGCAGGCGTGACCCAGAAGATATAAATATAGCCGGGCTCATCTTTTTCCGACAGTGGTTTGGCAAGCTCTTCGGTCAGGGCGGAATTGGTTTGGGGTGAGACTGTCGAAGGGACCCACCCTCCTTTTTGCGGTCTTTGAGGAGCACTGGATGGCACTTGTTGCATCGATTGGGGTCTTCCAGATGGACGCACTGGTCGCGGAGGAAGCGGTTCATCCTCTTCAATAATTTCGAAGCAACAGCAGAATGTTCGCTTGGTTTTCTTCTTCTTCTTCAATGGCCGGTACTTGTTGGCGTTGTCCTGTGGGTCATTGATATTGAGTCGCTCCATCAATGTATCAATACTTGATCGTGGATGTAATTGAGAAGTATTCGGCTTGTTGCCTGTCCCGTTCGATACTGGCACTTTTTGATCTTTGTGCTGCCAGCAATACATCACATCTGTAGATGCCAATGCACGGCGACATGGGCGGCCATTACCTGTAACACCTTTACATGTTGTGGCGGGATCAAGTGAATCGGTGCGGGTTACATTAGAAAGAGCCTCGGGGGAATTCGCGAAAACAGGCATGACGTCTGTTCCAAAACTGAGCCTCGTAGGAAGTAATTGAGACGAAGGAAGAGACCATGCGAAAAAGAGAAAAGTAGTTAAAGATTTAAGACACAGAGAGTTTTTGCGGTGGAGAGAGCCTGCATTTTAGGGGGTTTCAAGTTTGCGGGGGGCAACTAAACAGAACTATATAAAGGGCAGCGCATTCAGCTCCAGCCATATTGTGGGCCTGATCAGAAGTCAAAGACCCATCTTTGGTGAAAGCGAGCCGAACATCGGATTCGGAGCAAGGAGCATCCAGATTGGTCAAAATTGATGCTGATCTGTACACCGCCCCAGTGGCTGGAGATCGTGCCTTATGACCCACTTTACAAAGAAGAACAAGTGGTTCTTTGTCTGGTGGTGTGTTATTGTAAGCGCTGGAACAATGCGTTGCCTGTCTTAATAGGCGCCATTATGAAAAGACAGGCACGAACGTGATGAATTGTGCCTGAGCCACTGCCCTATGAGGCACTCACACATCTGTCGCTGACATAGCCCTGTAGTGCATCTACATCAGTTTTTCGTGCCTCACTTTGGACTTGATAGTTATTTTTACTTGGACAAATCCAAACCCAATTCTTCGTATATGCTGCGTTGTCCACGTTGCGATAACTGTAACCCCTCGTATCTACCCAATATAATCGAAACCAGATCCACGGCATTTTACCCAGAAGGCACGCGTCAGTTGACTTGTCTGGGCTTTTGCGCCCCTGGCAACTAACAGTGACGCAAGAAAGCGCTGTCTCTCCTCGGGGGACACAGCAGGACTCTGGGTGTGATTCGTTTGATCATTACATACATCCGCTAGTGTTGTAGCGAGATGCGGACGAGCTAATCCTTGCTGTTTGAAGATGAGCCTTCTGAGCACCTCACAGAGGTGTTCAAGGTCGGAACGGGCACATCGCCCGGCGACCTGAGATACCAATATGCGGCATAGAGCTGGAATACTGTCTCTGAGCGCTCTTTGTACAGCTTCTTCCTCGTTAGGAAGGTTCAGCACGCCTACCCAGAATTGGGAGGCAGAGCGAAGGGGAAGTGGCTCCGGGCCTTGCAAGGAAAGGAGTGTAAAGTTTAGAATCGCTTGGAGTACTGGTGGACGCTGAGGGGCACCATCAACATGACCAGTTCCTGGCTGGTTGGACTCCTGAGGCACAGCAGTAAGAGTAAAAAGAAAGGGGTAATACTTGGGGAGCAGGCGAGTGAGGAAGTCGATGCCGCTGTTTGCAAGCTCAGGGTCGTAGAACTCTGGCTTCTCATGCATCCAGCAAAATGTTTCATATACATGGACAATCAGGGTAACAGTCTCTTCACGGATACGTTGTGGATGTGCACTGTGAGAGGCCAAGAACGCCGAGGCCGTACCCATAACCATATCTGTGCCAGCACTCCCTAACGGTATACTTTTCACGAAATTGACTGTCACCATCGGTGGAAAGACATAGGGACCACTGTTCTCGGTAAAGCCAGCCTTCAGTATATCGCATGCTGCTTCGATAATGGTCACGTCTAAGGGAAAGTCGGTCATAAGAAGCTGCATGCATTGCATTATTAGGTTCTGCGATACAGCCCCATTACCCGTATTCCAGAAGGTCGGTGGATAAGTCCCCGTTCCCACCGTCAAGAGCGTCTAAAACAATTTCACCATCTGTTCTGAGCCCTTTTCCAATACTTGCAACGCAACGGAGAACTAACTGACCGCGACAGCGAGCAGGCTCCACTAACCCGCGAGAGGCTTCATCTCGTGCCAGCTCTGCCTGCTCCTGGAAGAATTTGAGAATTCGCTCAAGGAGCTGAGCTTTCTCGTTATCAGTAGGTAAAGTTTGTATAATAGCAGCAATTCCCTCTAGAACTTTCTCCATGGTGGAAGCAGTGGCTGTAGGCTTGAAGCGAAAACGCTCAAACTGGTCCATAAATGCAGGAAGCTCGAATGTTAGAGCATTGCGGCATGATTTGCAAAGATGCGATATAGATTTGGATGCTACAGAAGCACATGATGCAACGTCCAGTGATGCGAAAAGGAACGTGAGTACGCGAGGAAGTAAGGCATGTGTGCGTTCAAAATATGACTGATATTGCCCAAGCATGTCCACTAGCGTCTGCCGAGGTTTGTCTGGAATCATTGCAACATCCCCTGTACATAACCGAGCAAATTCATCACAGAAGAAAATTGCGTTTAAACATTCATCTGCATGCTGGTTTTCGTCGACAGCTTCCGAAAGTTGAGCCATGCAGAATACTGCGGCCTCGAATGTTCTCCAGTCCTGCTGCACTAAAGATGATTTTGCTCGTTCCTGGAACACTTGAACTAACTCAACTCCTAACATAGGATAGATTGCTAGGAGGAAGTCGCAAACGTCACGGCGAAAAGCGCCAAACTCACTGCGATCATCATCACCCCATTCTTGTAGCTCCTCTGGACTCGGGTATTTGAGTTTCTCAAAGCAATCCATAGCTGCACGAGCAAGATTGCGTTTAGCAGGATCAATCCCTTCTTCATCTTCTGTATCCAAGTATATATCTTGGAGATCATCAGCAACTTCAGTCCACCACTCAAGGACCAACGGCGATGCTGAATCGTCCACTGCTGCATATCCAGGGGCTTTGAAGAGAGCGTGGAGAAGGGCCAGAACTTTCTCATGGTCAGGATTCAAGGGCTGGATCAAAAGCTCCCTTTGTTTGAGTGTTGCGTACGCTAATAGAAGTTCCAAGAATGTCATATTCTCATCTTCAAAATCGGCATCCATTATGGAAGCGATATGGGCCGTGCCAAGATCACTGATGATATATTCCAACATAGAGTAGACATGCTCCTGGCTAAATATACTGTCTCGCCAATCTATTAATTCGACCAGGACCTGCATTGCAGACTTTGATAAGCTGGGAACTTTCAAACTTTGAATCACATAGCTGGTGGCAGGAGCAAGCTGAGTGGCGCGTATCGTGTCGCGGAGTTGGAGTGCATTACGGACCAAGGCCCATGACTGAAGCCCTGACGTTAGACAAGTTTCGTTGGATAGGTGTGGGCATGCTTACTTGGTAGGAGTTGATGGCCTCGACGCCAGGAGCGCCATCAGATATAGAGTGACCGGAAGATTCTTGCTGCAGCATATGACGGAGAACGAACTCGACTAGAAGAAAAGCATGCTTGATATTTCCAGATGCCCGGTCACTGTCTCCATTTCGCCGTGACTCCGGACTCCATCTATTGATTTCCTCCGCCAGTATGTTAGAGAAGTATAATATGCTGACCACCTGCCTTTCGGACATGGCAGGAAGAACGGCATCTTGCAGATCAAAAGACTGACACTGCTCCTCAGAGATATGCTTTCCATTTGCTAAAGAAGCCGCCAGGTTCCAAATAGCATGATTCCAGGGAGCATTCGGCTTTAGGAAGATGGTTGCTAGACTGGAAGCCAACTTGCGTACCACCAGAGGGCGCTCTCCCCCATTTACTAAGACGACATAATGGTCAATCAGTCGCCCAAGAAGCTCTCGAGCCTCGTCTTCATTTAACTGTTGCCTACAGCCGACACCAGTAAGTCAGGATATTCAATCGTGAAAAAGGTATACCAGTTCACGTACCAATCCTGGTTAATCTTGACAGTAAATGTTAGGGCTCCAAAGAATCTCAAGTCAGTACTCTCATCACTGAGGAGATTATTAGCAATGAGCCATGCTTGGGGGCCTTTCTGGAGAATCTGCAGATGCTCCTGGATAGCTTTGATCTTTGCGGGGTTGCCGGTATTTGCTGGATCATACAGCTGAGACACCAGCTAGGCATTGTTAGAAATTGAGCAGGAAGTGGGGGTTATGAGACAGGCATACTGTCCTCGCCTCATTAATGAGGACCTGTACATCAGAGCTTTGGCCCGGGACGTCCACAGACATGGCCGAAGCACTTGCAGCCTTGCTGTAGTGGATAAGAAACGGGTATAGATTGGCCCAAACAGCTGGAAAGGGGCGTCACGTGCTGATAACACTACCGCGTAAATGTAAGGCGGTGAAGAAGTGGGATGGAGGGGAAGTTAAGGCAGTTTTTGACAAGAATGTGAGAGGGAAGGAGGACATCAGTCGGTATGTACCATGTGACAAGGGTTCTGGAGGATCTATATGGCGTTCTGTGCGCGTTCTCATGGAGCCATGTGAAAACCCTGTCATTTCCAGCCCATTCAACGACAGAAACTCCCGGGTTGCAGGAGGTAATTTGATGAGGAATGACACCAGCCAAAGAGACGGTTGGAGATTTATTCTCTTTTCAGCTGCAAGTAAGAAATGTAGCGTCTGTATTCTGATGTTCTTCCCGAAGATGACGGAATGTGGTCACGAACCTGTATTGTACAGTAATGGAGCCATGTAAAAAAAAAATAAAAAATAAAAAAAAAAAAAATGAAAATGAAAATGAAAAAGGCGGTAAATGACGGTAATTGTCGGGAATCTCTGCCGTAGGTAATGTACTCCGTAATGGTGGTCCGGTCCTACACCGGTGGTGCTACACTGCAGCTACAGCTCCTAAACCCAAGCTAATCATCTTGTTGGTCCATGCATATCTCCACGGCTGCCACTCTAACATTGCACACACGACCTTCTTAACCACCACAATTATACCTAACCCTCCATCTCCTCAACCCCACCTCGTCCTTTCGCAACCCTCGCAGTCTCGTGCAACATTCCGAGGGCTTGTACTTGTCGCCTGTGATTTTGGGACACCTTTGACTCGGGCAGCTGCATCCTTTTGTTCAGACCTCGCTCGTCGATGCTTTTTTCTCGCCCTCCAATTCGCTCTCCGTGCATATCAGCATTTCGATCGGCTCGCCAGTTACCTCTCTCTCGCCCAAGGTTCTTTTCTATCTCTGTACCGCGCTTTTCAGTCGATATGGAGACCGTGAACACCTCCGAACGTCTCTCGAGACTCAGAGAGTTGATGCAGGAACACAAGGTCGATGTATACAGTATGACATCATTCAACTGTGCTCGATTGATGTACTTCAATACTCACACTTCTTAAAGTTGTCCCATCCGAAGATAGTCATCAGTCAGAGTATATTGCTCCATGTGACGGCCGCCGAGGTTAGACTTACGTCCTTAAACCCTGCGTTTCATCTTTCCGACACAAACTCTCCGCTCCACTACCATCGGTCGCTGTATAGCTCACACTTGCCACAGAATTTATCTCTGGCTTCTCCGGGTCCGCTGGAACAGCCATTGTTTCCCTGAACAAAGCTGCTCTGTCCACCGATGGGCGATATTTCAACCAGGCTTCAAAACAGCTTGACAACAATTGGCAGCTCTTGAAGCGTGGTGTCGAAGGCTTTCCGACATGGCAGGAATGGTATGTTATATCGTGCATACACGATCTACTGAGAATCGTTGGACTTAGTGTGTGGTTAGGACTACCGAACAGGCCGAAGGCGGTAAGGTCGTTGGTGTCGACCCAGCTTTGATCACAGCGTGTAAGTGAATAACCTTTTCTTGCTAATCTTAATTCAAGAAGCTAAGTTTCACAGCTGGTGCCCGTAGCCTCTCGGAAACGCTCAAGAAAAATGGCGCGACGCTGGTGGGTGTTCAGCAGAACTTGGTTGATCTGGTCTGGGGCAAGGACCGGCCTGCTCCCCCGAGGGAGAAGGTAAGAGTCCATCCGGAAAAATATGCTGGGAAGAGCTTCCAGGAAAAGATTAGCGAACTCCGCAAAGAGCTAGAGTCGAGAAAATCGGCAGGCTTCATCGTTTGTACTGCTACCTGCCTACCTTACATCGAAGTCCTTGGTGGCTAACAAGTGATAACAGCAATGCTCGATGAAATTGCATGGCTGTTCAACTTAAGAGGCAGCGAGTAAGTTTATGGATAAGCCCGATCTCTGGATACCAATTTACTTACAACTAAATATCAGCATTCCTTATAATCCGGTCTTCTTCTCTTTTGCCATCATCACACCTACAACTACGGAGCTTTATGTCGATGCTGACAAGCTGACGCCGGAAGTGACAGCTCATCTGGGCCAAGACGTTGTGATCAAGCCATATGATGCTATCTATGCCGATGCGAAGGCCCTTGGTGAGGCAAGAAAGCAAGAAGCAGGAGAAACAGCCTCTAAATTTCTGTTGTCCAATAAAACTTCGTGGGCCCTTAGCCTTAGCCTTGGAGGCGAGGGACAGGTCGAAGAAGTCCGTAGCCCCATTGGCGATGCTAAAGCAGTGAAGAATGATGTGGAGCTCGCGGGCATGCGAGCATGCCACATCCGCGACGGCGCCGCGTTGATAGAATACTTCGCCTGGCTCGAGAACGAATTAGTCAACAAGAAATCGACTCTTGACGAGGTGGACGCCGCAGACAAACTAGAGCAGATCAGATCTAAACACGAACTGTTTGCCGGTCTTTCGTTTGACACTATCTCTTCTACTGGCCCTAACGGCGCAGTTATCCACTATAAACCGGAAAAAGGAAGTTGCTCTATCATCGATCCGAATGCCATCTACCTCTGCGATTCTGGTGCTCAATACCTGGATGGAACCACAGATGTTACCAGAACGTTCCATTTCGGACAACCCACCGAGCTCGAGAAGAAGGCCTTCACACTGGTTCTCAAGGGCATGATCGGTCTGGATACTGCTGTGTTCCCAAAGGGTACGAGTGGGTTTGCACTTGATGTGCTCGCCAGACAGTACCTCTGGAAGGAGGGACTCGATTACTTGCATGGAACCGGGCACGGGATTGGCTCCTACTTGGTAAGCAAGTCAGATTTTACGAGCTTTATAATATACTTATCAGGTTGTAGAATGTACACGAGGGGCCAATGGGTGTCGGCACCCGCGTCCAGTACACTGAGGTCCCTATAGCACCTGGAAACGTCATTTCTGATGGTATGCTACTTAACCTGATTCTATGAGAACGTGTCCACTAATCACAGCAGAACCTGGCTTCTACGAGGACGGCAAGTTTGGTATTCGGATAGAGAGTAAGCCTTCAAGTGACCCAGATTTTGACCCAAACCCAATACTGACCTGCCGTAACAGATGTTATTATGGCGCGTGAGGTGCAAACCACGCACAAGTTTGGCGACAAACCGTGGCTGGGCTTCGAGCATGTCACAATGGCCCCTATTGGTCGCAATCTGATCGAACCGTCTCTTCTCAGTGATGCTGAGCTCAAATGGGTGAACGACTATCATGCGGAGATCTGGGAGAAGACCCACTGCTTCTTCGACAACGATGAAGACACGCGCAGCTGGCTCCAGCGGGAAACACAACCCATCTCCAAATGAGCTAGCGAGTTGAAAGACCAGCGAACAGTAAACTATAATTGTTAATAGAACCCTTATAGTCTAATAGAAATCGCATAGATGTGTTTCTATTCTACCAATCCAATAAAAACCATTGAAATAGAATCATGTGTCTCGTTAGACTTGTACTATGTAGAATTCTCAGGAGAATCCATTTCATAGCGGAATGTGGCTGACTGGACGGGATTTAATGCATTTTAATGTGGAGAACCCGTGAGCCCACGACACCTTAGGTATAGCTGTCCCCCATGCAAGTTACTTGCCGCCTGTCGCGATCCCTTTGATCCCGAACATCTTGTTAGATTTACACTATACTTATCTAGCGCATGCGCTGTAACCTGCTTCGAATTTACCCAGTTCTATGTCTCGAGGACGATCATGATTGTTTTCTCCTGCCTGATTTCTCAACGTCATCGCTAAGCTCGCTTGCCGACTCTACGAAGCCCAGTTACCTTCCGTGCCCCATTACGAATCCTCTTAATTCTCCGCCCTGCATATCTAATACTCGCTAAACACAGACGTCTGGTATGAGTGGCCGAGGAGGTTACGCCAATGGATACGGGTACCCCGACACCAGCCGATATGACCACACTGATGGAGGTTATGGCAACAGCAACAATCTGGCTGTAAACGGCTACGGAGGAGGTGGACGAGAGCGTCGGCCAGGAGGCTATGGTGGATTTTACCCTGAGACGCCACAGCAGCCTGGGTTGTCGCCGTCCCAATCACCCGACCGACGCCGTGAACGACGGGATTGGGATCGAGATCACGGATATTCATCATCACGCTCACGCACACGAGAACGAGACGGGGACCCCGAGAGGAGGCTACAAAGTTCGTCGCGCGATGGCCGGCCTCAAGGAGACAATAGCCGGTTGCCAGATGGCAGCCGAGAGAAAGATCAAAATATCCCCAGTAATAACTCGGCTGGATCACAGGCTGTTGAAGGTTTGTATTTCATATTGCACGCCCATTTTTTTCTTCATTTTTTCAGATATCTTCGTTCTTCTACTAACTCTTACTCATGTTCATCACAGAAACTTTGCAGTCTATCCAACAAGAATGGGATCTCGTTGCCTCGGACGAATGCGTCCCAGTTCAAGTAGCTTTACAATTAATGGACACAAGTACATTGGGGAAAGCCGATCGCGAGCCCGAATTTTTAGATGTGCATAACCGAATTCAAAGGACCTTGAAATCTGTTGTCAACGGTAGGTCATCGCGAACTATCGTCTGCTATGGATCCGTGCTAAGAGAACTATTATTAGAACACCACCAGGGCTTTAACAGCTCAATTGGTACTTACCACAAGATTCAGTCAAGTATTCAAAGCTCCCAAGGCCGAGTTCGTAACTTGAAACATGCTCTGGAACAGGCTAAGTCGGGGTTACTGTCGACTAAGCCCGAACTAAAAGACTTAGCGACCTCCTCTCAGAAGTACGACGATATTATCCAGCTGTTTAGTCAAATCCAAGAGATACAATCTCTTCCAGAGAAGCTGGAGTCGCGAATATCCGATAAGCGATTCCTCGCCGCCGTTGAGGTACTTCACGATGCTTTCCGTCTCTTGCGGCGTTCCGAACTAGACAATATCGGCGCTCTCGCAGATATTCGCGCCTACTTCACTAACCAAGAAATATCACTTACAGATATATTGGTAGAAGAGTTGCACGATCATTTATATCTCAAATCCCCCTATTGCTCGAATCGATGGAAACCACCAACCCCGGAGGGGGAGAACAGCAGCGCAGGTCAATCCGAATGGGCTGGCGCATCTTGGGACAGACCTGTTTACACTTTCCTCGCGAAGCTGGACGCTTCGGCCCCTATGGTGGAGGATGCTTCTCGTAATCCAGAAGCTGACACGTTCTACTATATCCGACTCCTAATCGAAGCACTGAATAAAATGGGTCATTTGGATATCGCTGTCGACCGGGTTGAACAGCGGCTTCCAGTTGAACTCTTTGCGGTGGTTGACAAAACAAACGCGGAAGTCGACGCACGCTTTCCAAATTTGACTCGTGGCTTTGCAGAAAAGGAGACCAAGACAAACCTACCGACTGAAACAATCGAGAACCGCGGGCATGTCCTATCTGAGTTTCTGTGGACCTTGTATGCCAAATTCGAGTCTATTGCAGAAGGCCATCGCGTAGTCCATGATGTCATTGCAGCAATTGTTGAACGTGAAGGCATTCCTAAAAGCAGCTCTCTTGCAGGGGGTTTCAAGGAGCTGTGGAAACTCTACCAAAGTGAGGTAGGTAGTTGGACATGGCCTCCTTGGCAGTATCTTTGTTGCACTAACCTAACTTATGTGACAGATTCGATCACTCATGCATGATTATCTAGCAACTGATGGAGAGTCATCCCTCCGACCAGGAGGTGAAGACGACTCCAAGCGCCATATTTACTCAGGCTACAGAGACAAGAGCAAGGTGTGTAGAACTATAGTTTACCGTGTACCATCGCTTACGGTGTTAGAAAATGTTCAAACTGTCCGAGACGGATGGGACGACGGAAATGAAAGCCGAACAGAATGAATTAGATGAAATACTCCGCTCTTCTGTCCCAGGTCTGGTGTCGAAGACAAGACAGAAATCTACTCCGAACGGGAATTCGGATTCCAAGCAAGGAAATTCAGGAACTGGTCATAAGATTCTTATCGAACCAAGTGTATTCAACATGAGTATCCTTCTTCCACCTTCGCTCTCTTTCATTCAACGCCTAAAGGAAATTGTACCCGTGGATTCCGATATTGCTATGAGTACTTTGACTTCCTTCTTGGATGACTTTATGGTCAACGTGTTCCTCCCCCAGCTTGATGAGACGGTCACAGATCTCTGTATGCTGAGTTACATTACACCAGATGCATTTACAGAAGATCCCCAATGGTTGGCAGTGTCTCCGCGTCCAGTCTTCAAGGTAGGCTATTAGCATCCCAATCCACTGAGGCTTCCTTGACATTGAGTGCATTAGGGTACGGTTAAATTCATGTCCATTATCCGCGAGTTCAGTAAAATGCTGTCTAGTATCCCCCATGACCAAGCATTCACACAGCTACTGATCACACAAATCGTGAATTATTACGATAAATGCTGTGGGTGGTACAGAGGTAAGGACCGAAAACTATACTTCTTGACACTCTTATCTGATCTGATATATAAGCCATCGTGACCAAAATCTCACCTCGTGACAATGGTGAATTCCGACTCAAGGCCGCTGCACAATATGCCAAATCGGGTGACATCCACGATGTAGTCAGTGAGCTATGGAAAGCAGAAACAAGTAACAAGGAAGAGCTCGTAGATAAGGTGAATATGATTCTTAGGGAAGGATGCAATTGTCACTAACTACTTCTCAGGAAACTAACCTTCTCCTCGAACGTACAAACGAAGTACCTTTGGAGCCGTACGATATCATCTCTGATCCTAAAACCGTCATGGCTCTCTCTCTTCTATATAACAGCACAGTGAGTCGACCATTTGTATCTGTATCTCGATCTTGTTACTGACACTGATCAAGCAATGGCTTGCAAGCCATTTATTGAAATTGCGCCAAGTTACGCAGCCATCATCTGAACCACGACGCCCACAAGAAAGCGGGCCAACAAACCGCAGATGGACCTTGATTGGTGCTATGGTACCAAAGCATGAGGGATCAAACCAACCAGTGTACCTTCCCTTAAATCAAGAAACTGCGACTGCGTTCGATACTACTATCGAATCGCTGCGCGATCTTTCTTCAACCGCACTTTTCGCTTTACACATTGACATTCGGTGCGGCATTATTCATATGCTCACGAGGACCATGGCTGGCCCCAACCCCAGTAATAATCGCCATTCCGAACCTACAACTCCCTCTCCCAACTCGAACATTACTTGGTGGCATATAGTTCTGAACCAGCCAACGTCCGCTTCACCAACTGTACTTGAGCTAAACAATGATCTAATCTCTTTCGATACAAACATCTCTTCGTATCTGGGATCAGCCGAGCGCTGGTATATCACATCAGGACTGGCCAGGTTTATTGATCAGGTATTTATTGCGCGTGCCCATCTTATCGGCGCGATGAATGAGAACGGGGCGCTGCGACTTCAGTTGGACGTCCTCGTCCTCCAGCAAAACCTGAAGAACATCATCGTTGATCCAGCTATGGATACAGATGAGGGAGAAATTGCTCAACGGGTATCTGAACAGCACTGTGAGGTTGTCGCTCTTCCGCGTAGTGCTAAGTTCTTGGACTGGTTCCTAGAAGGCGCCGAGAAGGCTCTCGACTACGCAAAAGATGAGAAAGAATCATTTGCAACGCAACCCGAGAAAGCTTTGGCTGCTGGCAATGGCGAGCCATTTACCTACGAAGAGCTCAGGATCCTTGTCGATCTATGCTTCTCAGATATTCTCAAAGGACCTAGAGGTGCAGAGAACCGGGAAGAGTTCATGGCTGCAAAGAAAGCGAGCGCAGACGCGCTCCTAAGGTTGAATGAGATAATGTGGGATTCTAGATAGTAGGGCCTCGACTTTTTCAACGAAGGACTTATTAATTTAAAGGAAGAGAGCTGTCCGACAGCTACTACATGCCAATCTTACAATTGTTATATTAGCCCTCTGTGCGCTTCTTACGCACTCGGTGTTTTGACCGTCGTTCCAGGGCTGTGAAACAGCCAAATTCCAGGTTTTTAAAGGCAGTGCGTTTCCTAATATTAATGGATCGCATATGGTCCGCTAGATAGAAAGAATTCTTCCGCAGTTTTCCCTAATGCGGAACCTTTAGTTCAGCCATATAGTAGGTCCTTTGTCTGCCGAGTGGCCTTACTGTTCGCGCCTGATTCTGATTATTCTTAATTAGCCATCGTGCACGACAGCAGTGGGTGTTTGTGTAGCAATCCGACATCGCACTGTTTATCCGTTTAGCACTACTTTGTCAAAATAGAGAAGGTATGCGCCAGTAATCCCGAATGGCATTTACAAGTGTCTGAACTCCTAGA